TAAATGTTTTTCTTTTGTCTACTTCTAGGACAAAGATCTAGAAAGGACTGTTGGCATCAATACTGGTCACGTCGGTACATCCGATTTTAAACTGGAGAAAGGAGATCGGGACTTCGTGGTCGAAGTAAGTAAACTAAGTTTAATATAAAAGACAGGTGGTGAGTTATAATTTGTGAACGACCTACGAACTAGGTTGTGATAAAGCGGTATATAAGAACCTTGAATTATTATTAGTATAATAATTGTTATGTACTTGGTGATCACGAGTTTATAATCTTCATTTAAAAAGGGAGGGGTATATAGATATCAAGTTGATGCCTGTCCCTCTGTCCGTCCATTTATATTTGTTGTCCATATACTAACTTCAGAATGAGTGACCGCGCAAAACTTTAACTCAGTATCAAATTTATAAAAGCAACGAGAAAGTCCTCAATTGCTTTTGAAGCATGATTCGTCGAAGGTCAAGGTCGCTATTTCGAAATACATAGGACTCTTTTCTGGAACCACTTTTCAGACCAATGATCCCGCATGACTATGTTGGTTGCTCTAGAAAAAAGGACAATCACTATAAAATTAAGGAGTGTTACTAAGAATTATATGTTTTTCCTAAGCTGATAATATCTTCAGAATGATTCTAAGACACACTGCTCTTTACTCAAAGCGTAACGTTCCGTCATCAATCATGCGAACGACTTTATGAAATCACCATAAATTTCCGTCGATTCCATTGTCATTCCAGAGAATATTTCACTGTTTCATTTGCCTTCTACAATTTGAAGATCGCACAGAAAATGTGTTCACTTGTAATTTTTTCTCAACTATGTTGTAAATGACAACTATCTCGGAACATCCAGCGTATGCCTCCCTGATCAAAAACCGTCTTGATCGTCACAGAGTTCACTTACGTATTGTCTTCTTGAAAATGCAATGTGTCACGTGGGTTCTCAGTAGCTGAATAACACTTTTTTAAACATTACGTACGTGTCGCGCACGTGGGAACATCAAACAAAATTGGTTGAAGTAACGGTGGTGACGTAACATTGCTCTTGTAAACGTCCGCAGGGATTCCTTCCTCTTTTTCACTGATTACCCTTCCCCTTGCGCATACCACTCTTTAACGTCAGCATTATATGCGTCACAGCGCGTGCTCTCCGTAATGCTGACATAAATAGTATTTGACGAGCACGTATCATCTAGCGCTTCATCAGTTCCTTCGAATTCAATAAAGCGGTGAACACATCTTTTCTTGTTCCCCGCATGGTACGTTAATCAGTACCATCGAAACAGTCATCATTAAATGCATATTAGTCTAATGAGATAGCGTTTAGCCTTTCGTGACGTCATTTCCCCCGATTGTTTTCTAGATTCACGTCTGCTGGCTATTGCATAGTGTTTCCAATTTCTCTCATTCTGAATCTGGTACTAATGTTTATACCTCTGCACCTACCGATCGAAAGCCAAATGCTTACTGACAACAAATGACTTTAAGAGAGTGTGTTTAGTCCCAGAACAATTGCACCACCTGCACGTCACCCGACACACACTGTCATATAATGCGTACAGAACCTCATATCATCATGGTTTCAGTATCTGGCGTGTTCTCAATTCCATTACATACATGAACCCTCTTGAAGTTTATTTTATTAGAATTTTCATCGTTCACAACATACACAAATGTGTTGATGTGTACGTACTTATGTATGTTACCCCTATTTGTCATAACTGTAGCGGCTGCATGTTTCGAAGATTTTCAGGAAACTTAAACGGAATTACGTTATCAGTCAAAGTTCAATTTTTCTGTTACTACGTTCACTCTATCGTCGCACCTTCCAAACCCGACATGATTTATATATCCTACTCAGCCTTACCTTCACCTCCGTTATTGATTTGTCGCTCTCTCAGTGCATTTACGTCCACGCCTGCTCTAGGTGTCTTTATTATTGATGACTTTACATCGGTGAGCACTTGTATCCAACATATCCCGACTTGTGTACATGAGGCGAACATGTTGTCACCTCATTGGCGGGTAAAACCTCAATTTGTATTTATGGTTTAAGTTTTATCTTTTAAGAGCACATTTTCCAGGTATCGTGTGACTATTATCTTGACCTCAAGTTGTAACGTCGTCGTCGGCCTATGTCAGGCGTACTGTCAGTGTAGGCACGGTCTGATTTGCGATAACTAATGCCCATACGCGAATTATTCTCTGGAGCTCTGATTGATCGACGACTCGTTTTTCCTCTTGACAGAACATTCCCCCCTTATACGTTATTATCTTACCCCAATGAGCCGTTCCTAAAACAGTTTCCGATATCAAAGTATATTTTATTGTGCTGTGTCATTTGTTCCTTTCTGCTATTAACAACCCTGGTTTATTTCGATGTTCTCAAAGCTGAGGTAACACCCATGCCTGTCAGTTTACGATTATATCAAAGACAATTGCAAACAACAAATATGCCAATAAGTCCGTAATATTACCCCTGAGTAGATCAACATATCGAAACTTTCGATACAGACAGCTTTGTCAACAATAAAAATAACGGTAGTTTGTTCAATTTATCATATTTGCTTGATAATTGTGATATAAATGCGAGTTGTCTTCAAGACATAATTTGCCTTTTGTAGCAGCAATTATAACATGTCAATATATACAATGTACATGTCGGTAGCAGTTGACCCTTAACGGGTTTACATGTCTGTTGTTCCGCCTTTTCAGAGTCAGTTCTAAGTACCGGGATTAATGGCGGATAAATGCCCTGTTAACTTATAACCAAGTTTATAGCTAGCACTTCCTACCAGAGCATACACTGACGAAAACTGCAGCTGATGATTTTTTTTCAACTTAACAGTCGTTATCTTTGGCAAAATGTAACCGAATTATATTTTCACATATGTCTGGAAAAATGGTCTAGATTGTGCTGGAATTGCATGCCGGTACTTTAATTGCGTGTTGAAGCTTCATCTTTGTCTTTTCTATGTCTCGTTTCTAAATCAAATACATGCGCTATCATATGATCATTTCAACCTTGCAGCAAGGCCGACGGAGCATCACGTCCTTCCTGAAGTACTATGCCGCCCATAACCAGCACCTTGCTAAACGATCCGAATCGTCTTCATCTCGAGTCGTCCTCACCTCCAAAATATCAGAGGAGTCTGAGAATGGGCAGGATGATAAGGACGTGTGTAAGGGAAGTGCTAATGCTGACAGTATACGTTTAAATGACGTCAACGGTACAGATGAAATCCAAGATGAAGACGACGCTGATAATGAGAAGACGCCAAGTAAGATATTTTCCCTAAGATTTGTACACGCGATATAGTGTTGTGTCGGCGACGGGACGCGGGACGTGCGAGGGGTGTAAAAAGGAAGCTTGACTGAGAGGAAGGAACTTAAGGAGAGGGGTGTTAGATAGAGGGGATAAAAAAGAAGAATATGTACGAGGAAGGATGTGAGAAGGAAGGTGGCGTAGGAGAGAGGTTGCTAGGGAGATAGAGCGCGTAGAGGGGGAGAGGTTTGGTGTGGGATTCTGGTCAGAGACTAGGGGCTTTAGTAAATGATAAGATGAGGGTCATGAGAGAGGAGGGGTGTATAAGAGGGGATAGAGCGAAAGTTGTCGGAGAGTAGTGATGTAGGTGGGAGTTGGGAGATAGGGGCGTTGGAGGGGTTAAGAGAGGCGGGGAAGAAAGGGCGTAACTAAGCTCGGGGTAGAGGGCGTGGTAGAGGAGGAGACTACTTGGAAATGAATTGGATGTTGGCCTTGGAGAGTTGGGGTGAAAGAGGAAAGCATGGAACAGTGAACATTTGAGAAAGCATGTGGGCACAGTTTGGGCGAGAGAGTGGGGGATGGGAGAAGCGTGACGTTGGAGAAAGCATGTGGGAGTAGTTGGGGCAAACGAGTGGGGGATTGAAGAAGAGAGACGTTGGAGGAAAGGCGTTTGAGAGGAGGAGAGGGCGTAGGTGTAATGAAGCAAGGAAAGAGGAGGCGTGGGTGAAAGGACTATCGGTGAAAGAGGATTTGAGTAGAAAGAAGAGAGGAAGTGTGATATTTGGTGCATGGTAAAAGGAGGTGTAGGAGAATGGGTTGGAGGTGGGGGTGTGGGCTCAAGATCTGATTTGGGGTGGAACAGGGGTATTAAAGAGGAGGCTGTTAGAAGAACTGGAATGGGAGAACGAATAAGAGAGAAGAAAGTTTGTGGTTGGTGTGAGAGGGGGCATGGTTGGATTTTGAAGTCGTTTTCATGTTTCTATTTCGTGTAATCTTTGTTAAGGTATTGCTTGAACTGACCTTTTGGATCTGAGTTACAAATAAGTACAAGTCAAGCTACATGTGAACATGCAGAAGAAAGTAGTGGGGAATATTTTTTCTCTGAGTGAATTAACATTTTGTCTACGAAGGAATCCACGTTTTGAGTGTTAGTGAAGTCACATTGTACATCAATGGATTATTCAAATTGCACGTGTTGTAAACGTACATTTTGAAATTATTAGTTTTTAATTTTATATCCTTATTCACAAAATATCTCTATATATTTTTCACACGTCCCCATTTCTTGATTTCCTACAGATGTTTATAGTTTAAAATACGCAATGTTTACATGTTTTATTTCAGTTTTGGATGCAAGCTAGTTAAGAGAATTAACTTGGTTCGGCGGACATACATCAACTCCAAATGATGGCATTAACAAGACTCCATCTCCGTTAGGTCATGAATACTTCCTCGTGCGAAAAGGGGACCGGTTCTTCATTGTTTAAGTGAAGAGGCTCGTGGAGACATTGAGACTGAGTTGTGGAACGTTTGTGATTTTTGTCTTTATTGACAACACACACCTACTGTACACAAAGTATGTGGTGTTATGAACAAACCTTTCAAAGAATAAATGTCAGAGGTTGAAGAGTTTTCTCACGATTTTTTTTTATCGTTATCTAATAATAAGATTTATCTGAACGTGTTGTGTTTCCACATTATGTAGTTATGATAAGTTAACTCCAAATCAACATTCATATAAAACTAGTATTGAAGCTTTCTTAGGAATGAAGAATTTTTCGACAGCGATCATTGTCATTGTGTTGTAAAGTTTATATCCCGAAGTTGTATTATTATGATCATTTAATTGTAAATAGCCCATTATTAAGAATACTTTCATCGCCGCACTCAAAACACTTAAGAAACCTATGGTGTTTTTCATGCATACAGTAACTTTAATTTCCTTTTGGACCATATAATTCACTGATCGTGTTTTTCAGTTGGTTAAAGCGTCCGTACCGTGATCGGATGCCTAGAGTCTGAATTCCAGCCTGCTCATGTTCCATTTTTACTGTATACAGCTGTTGACAGTCGAACGGGTACCCTTAATACACATTTATACACCCATGGTAATAAGTCTTCCTTGGAGGAATCGTAGAAAAAAAGCTTGATTGTCGCTAAAGCGTTGTAGAAATTGAATTACGTGAGAGATAAGGGATGTGCCGTTCAGCCACCACGCTGTTAGGTTCGGAGGATGAGTTGGATTGTGTAGGTATAATACTCACCGGTACCTCCTGGTGTCCTGATATAATGTCACAACGCTGTTAGGTTCGGAGGCTGAGTTGGATCGTGTAGGTATATTACTCACCGGTTCCTCCTGGTGTCCTGATATAATGCCTTCGGTAATAAAGAAACGGATGCTGATTAACCTATATTTTTATTATCATTTTGTAAATAATTGTTTTAATTATCTAAATGATATGACGACAGTCTTTGTTTTGACTATCATCCTTAATCGAACTATTTTTTTATCTAAATGTTGAGCCTTTGAGCGCTTATGGTCATTCTGTGCGAGATCTTCACTTTTAAAGCATACCTAGTAATTAATTCTAAGCCATATCATTCTACATCATTAATGACCCAAATCCCTATCATATTTTTTTAAGCTATACTGCTTATCTTAACCTACAACATCGGGATGTTATTCTGTATCAAACAACCACAGTATGATGGTAACGAACTATGTCAAAGAATGATACCGAAAAGCTACGCAAAGCATAGAAATAGAAGTATTTTTGTATAAAATAGGAAGTTGTCATTTTAATCCTTAAATATGCAGAATTTGTTGTCAGTTTTAATGATTATCAAAACTTAGCATATTTACCCTAATGTATAACTAGACATAATTTCCTCCAGATACATCACAGTCCTCTACATTAATGTTCACCCATAAACACATAAATACCAAAGGACAGAAATGCCGTCCTCGATACCACGGGGTTACGGTCACTTTCGCTCTCTACACCCCTGGAATATGTCATAGAAAAAGTGAAGGCACGCGGCCAGCTTTTTGATTGGTGTCGGGTAACAAAAAACCCTGACCAATCACTAGGCTGATACCTGTCTTTTGATGATGACAAAGGAGCGATGCCCGACCGTTAAGCGACTGCGATCTTCTTCTAAAGTACATCAAAGAACCAAACTAGTCTTCACGAGAAGTTGCTCATTGAGCCTCCGACTTTGCTCTGCCATACATTCCAGGGGTGTAGAGAGCGAAAGTGAGCGTTACCCTTGGATATCGAGGATGCAAAAATGCATGCATGCGATCATATGTTTGATGTATGCAATTACTTGCATAACGCTTAAAACATATGTATAATTTCTCAGACCTGTACATTGAGAAATATGCTATTTTGTAGGTTGTAAAGGTTTAATTATACATATTATACCTTTTTATCTTTCGTCCTTTATCAATTACATTAAGCTGAATAAGATCTTCGATCGATTTCTTTTTGTGGCAGGATTGGTTTGTGTAAAATATTGTTGTTGTTTGAGTACTTTTGCGTATCAAATTTTAAATTCCTGTTTATTATTATATATCGTTATGAAATATTTACAAATCTCTATACTACTATACATTGAAACTGTTTTATATATCATGCATGTCTAGTTTGAGTTGGTGAGGGAAAATGTGTGCAAATATTTTTTTTATTAATATGAAGGGATTTTTATATATATATTTGGCATTTAGCTTTCATATGGCCTAAGTGTCATAATTAATACATGTTATCTTGTCATGTAACATGATTCGGTCGACATACAGATAAACGTGTTCTTTATCATCTTCCTGTGATTAAGACATCCAGCTGGTAGGGTACGATTGACGCGAATAATGCTGATGTCGTATAAACTGATGTGAAAACTTGGAAGAACACACTCTATTTAAAACGTTCGCCATAGCTGAACTTTTGCCCTTTCGCCAACAATGATGAGGGAGGTTTCACAAAGACAGTAAATGTTGTTAATAGCTTACTCTACATAGTTAATCGATTGAGAAATGTGAAATGTTCACTGAAAGTGTATCGTTTTAAATGTCCATGGTGTCATTGTTTACTAACTGTTCGGTAATGACACAAAATAAATATAACAAATCAATCGCTGATTAAATTCGATCTTGTGCAGAATTAATAACATATCCTTATTATTTATACTATATGTATGAATAAATGTTAGGAGATACCAATTCGCGGTTTAAATCCGCATTAAATTCACTTATATTAAATAAAAAACAAACTGAAAAATAGGTGAATAAAGACCCGTCAATCAATAACACCTTTCATGGTTTTACTCAGTCACCCCTATATTTCTAAACTGGACTTGTCCAGTCTTTGATTTGGTAAGGGTTCAAATGTGGCATTAGGGTTGAATGGGTCAAGTGGCTTGCTTCACACTATCTATGTATTATTTACAGAGATTGAGTCTCATGTTAAGACAAATCAAGATGTAGTTTGGAGTTGTTGTAACTATGAAATATACCTGAAGCATAAAACTTCAGAAAGTTCATGAAATACGATCGTGACTCCAAACTTACGGACATCACAGCATAGGGACAGTTTTGCTGTTGGAGCTGTTTATAGTGACGTATCCTGTGGCGCGACTGTATTTGTACGGCTTATGCAAACTGATAAGTGTAGGACCAGCTGGTTGATACTGTCTAGTCTGAAGTGCATTGCCTTTGTATCAGGGATTAGGCTCCTGTGTTTACACTGTGAAACTTGCCATACAAATGTACATAGTGGGATAAGTTCGGGCAGAAAACCGTTAACACACTATATCATATTTCTGTATCTCACCTGTACTTTACCTCATTCTTAAATAAATCCTATAAATTAAGGATCCCTGTCCCACCGAACTGCGATTTTTGTTTATGCAGTTGCATCCTTTCAAACACGTATTCTGGCCAGAACACTTCAGTTGACCAAATAACTCATCGGTAAGAGCGAAATTATAGAAATCTGAAATCCGGGTTTTTCACACTCAGAACTCTATTTGTTGATAATATTTTGTTTATTTCATCTTTGTCATTTTTCATAAAAGTCCCGCAGTGAATGTTTGGTTTCTATTCAGAAATGTTTTGTGACAGCTATTGTCCTTTCCTGGTATAACGGATTCCTAATTGTTCTTTACAGTTTTGGCAGTGGTACGGGGATCCTGAAGACAGATATTATCATAAGTTATAACTTTGTTTAGAATAATCCTTTCATGAGGGTCTAGGGGGTCTGAATTCAAATCAAGGTACAACGTGGAAAACGAAGAAAGGTTCATGATAATAGAAGAAATACATTATCAAGATTTTCTTCAATAACATTCCTTGAAAATTCCATTTTTGTTTATTCCTTAGGAGAACTAGAACTAGAAGTTTAAGTCAGAAAACATGTTTGAGTATCGACTTTCATAACAAACAGTCGTATATCTTATTCAAAACGTTTGAAATATGAAATACGTTATCTCGTCAGTAGACTGTAGTCCCATGCTGACACGACGTTCTCTCCGGACGGAGTGAAATTAACATTCCAGACATATTTTCCTTATAAGATGATTTTTCATTTGTGTCCCGCTCTTTTGATATCAGCAACTTTGATAAACATTCCAATCAGATTTAATTCGTTCCCCTGAGGTTTTTCTGTGACCAGTAATTAATTAACGTCGGTAAAGTCATGTTTGTACCTGATAGATTTAGAGCGTTTTGACACTTTTATATTTACATATGTGTGTTATAAAAAAAAAATACAGTGTCGTCATTTTTGTACAGTGATAGTAATAGCTGTGAGTTAATGTCCCTTGCTTCCGTTTTTTACTGTCGTGAGAGATCAATATGCAAACTAAGCATCTTTCTCAGCGAATGTGCATAATCCTATTTTAAATACGCATTTGATAGTACGTGTGTTTTATTTTATTCTGAGTTGTTAAAGTGCTCAGTGTTTTTTTATTCACCCAGATGCATGTGTGTTTTGGATTTCAATAAAAATCGGTAAAGCCTAAAATCGAGTGTCGTTATATGTTTCCTTTTTTAATTCTAATATTCCTCGGTCTTACATGATTGATAGTTGTATAATAAAAAAACTGACAAAAATATATCAGAATGTTATAACAAATGGACGAAATTCTGAAAAATATATTGACACAAAAGACACCGAGTGAAATTGGAGAAACTCCGAAGCAAAAAGAAACTAAAAGTGTCGCCAAAATGGTTTGCCGTACACTTGATGGCCGTAGTAATCTCTTTTGAAATTCAAGAATTAAGTTTTTTTGTGCATATCCTCTTCTGTTTCCACACTAGTTAAGACCTCTTTGGATTATCAACGTATGTCCCCTAGCATAACCGATGAGTCCTAGAAGGACCAAACAGCTGTATGGTGCAGTGTACTTCACTGTTGACATACTTCATCTATTTCCAAGTTTTAGGGGTGTAATCATCTGTGTGTGTCACGTTCACCTATGAAAACCCTTACCTGTCTAAATCTGGTACAAAATTGATGAAGAAGGCCACAGAACACTAGGAGAAGGCGACGAGTCGATAGAATATTATGTCACTCCTCATATACGGAAAGATAACTGACTAACATACTTTAAATAACATGGTTACACTTTTTACGTTTTTGTAAATCCAACGCTATTATTACAGCAGTAGTGTAAAGCAGAAATATATCGTAATATAAGTGTTTTATGTAATACATAATTAAAAGGAACGTTTTGCTGGAAAGTCAACAAATAGACAGAATCAGTTGATCGGGGTAGGACGAACGTATGATAACAATAAATATCAACAAATTTGTATGTGTGATGTGAAATTTATTTTATAGCATGAATTTCAATTATTGAAATGTACATTTAAACAAAGAATTTGTACACAGTTTAATTCCCTTTAAAACTGTCATAGAAAACTCACAATACGTTTAGACGATAGACGAGTTTGTTATATTCTGCCTTTGAATGCTTACACATAACCTTTAATAAATGCGAATAACTTGTGATCTTCCTTTAATAAAGTAGACATTATTATATTAAAGTGGTTCGATTTTTCAATAATATCTTATCAAAAGATGAGAAATGAAGACCACACGCGACAACGGGAATGTGTGTATCGTAAACAGTTAAAGGGAGGTAAATTGGATATCCATAATGTCGGGTTTTGGTATATTGCTGGTGGCACTCCCCTGCTTGGCCGTAGTCTTGATACATATGAAATACTAATTACAAAATAAATTATTTGTGGCAGCAAATAGTTATTAATTTGTAGCGTTTTACACCGTTTCATAAGAATCTTTACTTTTTTGCTGTATTCTACATATTATTAGGAATTTCTGACTTCAAGTGTCACTGATGAAACCTAAACGGACGAAATTACCATATGGTGCTGTAAAATATTTAATTTTTCTTGCTGCAATCATTACCACATTGTTATTTTGTTTTACTAATTTTGGCTAACTTTGGTATTTGGATACATTTTCGGTTTTCTTTTCACACGGAATGTAGCGCCGCAGTAAGCCATGACTAAACATGACGAATCGTTACAAACTAATTGTAGAACGTTTCCCTCACCTCAGATATAACAAGTATCCCCTTACTTCAATCACAAAACAATAAAGGTAAAGTAATCCCTTTCAAAGCACTTTAAGTATAAAAAATATAGGGCCTTACTCCAAATGTAAGATATATATGTACAATGTTTATACTGTGAAATCATAACTTTCGTGGTTTTTCAATTCCATTGATTTCGTGGGTAATCTTCATCCACGAGTTCATAAGTCCACGAAATAATTACGCGTTCAGCGTATAGCAATTCTCCTTTTTAGTGGTTACTCGTCATCCATGAGTTCATAAGTCCACGAAGTAATTACACGTTCAGCGTATAGCAATTCTCCGGTTTAGTGGTTACTCGTCATGCACGAGTTCATAAGTCCACGAAGTAATTACACGTTCAGCGTAAAGCAATTCTCCGTTTTAGTGGTTACTCGTCATCCATGAGTTCATAAGTCCACGAAGTAATTACGCGTTCAGCGTATAGCAATTCTCCGTTTTAGTGGTTACTCGTCATCCATGAGTTCATAAGTCCACGAAGTAATTACACGTTCAGCGTAAAGCAATTCTCCGGTTTAGTGGTTACTCGTCGTCCATGATATCATGTTCCCACTTGGTTTTTCCTCGGAAATTTGAGCGCCACAATTATTTTTTTTATAGTAGGTACGTAAAATAATCTGGTTTCGATGTGCGAATACATGCATGCTTCCTCAAGATTCAAAAAGCTATTTCCTTGTACGAAACTTTTAAGTTTGGTCTCACATTCGACTTCATTTTTTGCGTTGTTTGTTTCAATGCACAAGGGTAGCATACCGTTAGTATGTGACATTATAGCAAAAGTGGATAAAAAGAGTCGAGAAAACACACAGTATTTTTATAATTTAAATTTAATAAATACGACAGTGTGACCGATACTGTCAACAAAATGTGAAGACTTCCAAAGTTCGATCGGTTCGTAGCTTGTCCAGTACTTCCTGCAATAATACCATACGGCTGTGGCAGCACTGTACGATAACAATACAGCTGTTTGCGAAAAAAGACACTCGAGAACGGAGCCCTGTTCACTATACCATACGAATGATTAAAATATTCACTGCCCTCGAATTTTGACAATATTGAATTAATGATATTTTATGTTACTATTAAAATTGAGAATTTTCAATCAAGTTATTGAATCAATTATAAGAAACAGTGCAATTAAAATAAATAAATGGATAAATTAAAATTGCCCAAAGCATGCGCCTATATCGACTATCTTTAACAAAAATATAAGATTTATCAAGTGGTATATTTTTTTCCTACAGAAACAAGTACCTACCACTAATGATTTATATTATACCCAAAGGACAAACCTTCTTACCACAGCGCTATACATACTATTTCTTCGATAGGACCAGCATGTTTTAATATATCTTTATGTCATATACGATACCAGGATTATATATCATTTAATTTTTACGAAAAGGTATATGTTATCATAATCCTCTCGCATCATGGCCGATTTTGGACATTGTCAAGACCATATTATCAACTTATTTAATTTGTTATGACTAAATTATTTATGAAATACATCTCTCTTTCTACTAGAAACGATACGGTTAGACTGATCTTGTTTAGCTGCATACGAACAAGCTCCTATCCGAAAGCTGTGCCCTTTGTCAATGAACTATCCATACCAAAAAATGCGTAGCAGGCATGGAGTACTCTGTCAAAGTAGTTCCTTGTGACTGGGATATTATTCAACATTGAATATAAATAACCCTCATTACTTCGCCGATACTTTAGGTACTCTATTAGAGACTGGACTGCTGAAAATGATAAAGGCCCGTGACAAAAAGTTATTGTATGACGTTTCAGATTAATGTTGTTCATAAAATGACAAAAATGCACCTGAACGGAATGGGAGGTTAACCGGGGCCTCCTGTTGGTCATGACAATGGTATACCGTTCATTTTCATATACCTGCCACGCCATATCAGGAGGGCCTTGCTTCGGATTTTTTAATTGGTATCATTAAAATACCAGTTCCCTCCAATGGTACAGATCACATCCTGATATGTAATACAGGATAATAATATAATATACAACATTTATATAGCGCCCTATATAATTTGTGAAATTACTCTAAAGTACTTTACAACATATGGATGATAGTATTAGTTATAATTGTGAAACAAAAACGAAGGCTTACAATCACTTAATATATACACATAAATGAACAAATAAAGGGTGGTATGTAAATGACGTCTTTGTAAGAGCCTAAAATGAAGACGTCAAGAGTTGAGTTTTGATGTCCCTCTTGAATTTGGCCAGGGTATTTGACTTTTTAATAGCAGATGGTAAGCTATTCCACAACGTGGCAGAAACCCTCCCAAAGGTCACAGTACGAGCTTTTGGGACACACAAAAATGATTTTGACTCCGACCGTAGTGATCGTGACGGCTGATACAGGGTAACAAGCTACTGTAGGTACTGGGGAGCTGTTCCATTCAGTGCCTCGTATGTGTACACCAACAGTTTTTACTGTGACCTGTATCGTACAGGTAACCAGTGCCATGAATATAAAACATGTGTGATGTGCTCTCTTTTTCGAATACGAGTAACCAGGCGTCCTGCAGTGTTCTGGACCCTCTGCAGACGACTAGTTAGTTTGTCAGATATACCACAGAGCAGGGCGTTACCATAATCAGACCGAGAGATAACAAGTGAATGCACCAAAATCTTTCATGCATCTGAAGTTATAAAGAATATAGCCGATGTTCCTGATATGGTAGTAACATTATTAGGCAATAGCGTTTAATTGTTTCTCCATGTTCAGTAAACTATTAAAGTGTATCCCTATAGTTTTTAATAGCTGGGACAGTCTCAATAGTTCTGGCATCGACCTTGAGCTGGAGAGCCATTGTTTGCTGACACTTTGGGGAAAAAGCGATTAGTTCCGTCTTTTCCTGATTAAGCTCGAGCATGTTAGCGTCTATGATCCTTACCACATTCTTCGATTCTTTCCAAATAATACGCCTTCTTTAACTGAAGGGAACCAACTAGCCGACATTGTTACCTATAAATCTGTTGGTAAACGGTTTGGACGTCGCCACTGTCTCTCTGCTTTTCTACGGTTCTGTTTTTCTACGCGGAGATTTTAATTATACCACGGGGTATTCGGTCTCACTTTTATCGCCTTAGTCTGCAGAGATGCGTGTTTCTATATAAGGGCTTCTATACCAGATGTGTTTGCTTCAACAAGATCATCAACCTCGCCTTCGGTAGATTGAGGGGCGGAAGAAAACTGAATGTCATTGTTAAAATCTGGTATTGAAATTTCGCGGAATTTTCGGTAGCTCACTTCTTTCCTTGCACGATCTGATTTGCTACAATTCAGTATTGCGTGTACAGGAAGATGATCACCATATTGGTTCCCGTTTACATCACTTAGACATGGACCAATCACTGAAATTGCTCCATGAATGACTGGGTTATCTTCCCTCGTTATGACCACATCCATGGGTATGTATAGCTTCTGTCACATGTTGAATCAGACCACTGGACTCTAGTAACTCAGAGAACTGACGAGCATCAAAATAGAAAATAGATAAGCCACGCACCACCACGTTTGCCGCGTCTAGCATTGTGGAGGAAGCCATAGCCTGTTGGTATTAGCTCAGCTAGGACCTGGTCATCGATATCTGAACCTAACCAGGTGTCTGTCAATGCAAGAATGACAATGAGATGTTACAAAATCCCTGATGGACAATAACTTATTCTTCAACGAGCGACAGCTTAAGGACTAACTGACTTACAGTGACCAGCTGCTGTTGGCTTGATGACATGGATATTCTCGTACGATACTGATGATGTCGGAAACAGTGTTGAAGTATCGTTACGAGAATGAACAATAGTGTTGATGCTTGATACTTCTGTAAGTGCAATGTGACGCTGCAAAAACGTGTGCGAGACGGACGGACCATTTGTAGTGACCAAATGGATGAACTTATCAGTGTTTTGACCCGAGTGGGTACAACCACTGGTTCCGTTTGATTTAACTACGATAACACGTGGTATTCGCCTAACAGCACCCTTTCCTTACCGTGTCCCACGTCTTGTGCGCAAGTTTTTTTTTCAGAATTTGATTCCTCTAAAAGAAGTGTAGTAATATCATGACTCACTGGTCTAACTTCCAAGAGAACAGATCTTCTATACTTTAACATGTATGAATGTGATATCAACCTCCGCTAATGGAAGAAAAACTCACTTTATGGAAATTCACGGTGCTGCAGGGCGTTCCCACAAGTACAAATACAAAAAGAGTAGTGCAACAGTACAAATGTCTAGAACATATATCTATCAAAATTCTGTTTCTGAAATTCCGATTCTGGAAGGGGCCTCACATGGACTTTTCATTCAGATAAAATTACTACAAATGGCATCAGAAAATTACTACAAATTGCATCAGAAAGTTACTAAAAATGGCATCAGAAAGTAAAGTAAAATTTTAGAGTACTACTATTTTGAACTGTTATCAAGACTCATTAAGTCAAAAAATAATCCTGATATTGATCTTAAGTACTATTAATTATTTACATGTATACTTCAGGCCTGCCGCTGGTCCCACATAAGTGCCTCTTAATTCAGTTAACGGGAGATGACAAATTTGTGACGAGATGTCTCTTGCAGATCAAAATTTGACGAGGCACAATCAAAAAATTGTGGCCAGTGCCTCCATTTCCTCTGATAATTTGAGACGAAGGACCAGTGAGAATTAGTTGAATGAATCCTGCAATTTCTCAACATCGAGATAAATCTTCCTTTTAGAACGGACGATCCCAACAAGGCCGTCCTTGCTCATTTTCAATGATAAATCAATGAATTCTCCAGTCCAGATTTTCTCTTTTAATGAAGTCGGCACCCTGGCATGCAAGTGACGACAATACATTGATACTGAATGGGCCCTACTCATATCTAACAAAGCGCATCTCTCTAACCCACCTTACACCACCGCTTGCTGATCAGCTGGTTGTCCTAGAACATAAATTGATCCTTCTTTTGTATTAAATTCCTATGCATTGCTGACAGGTGTGGGCAGCACGGGGTCTAGTGGCAGGAAAGCCTTAACTGGCAAGAACCGCCTCTGTTACTGAAGCCGTAATAACCTGAGTGAGTTGGTTGAGTAGTTTATCAATTGCAAGTGGCACCTCAGACCCCGTAATGGTCTCCTGTGGCAACGCAGACTAGGTCCATATGCAGGGTGAAAACTGGTTGTTCTCTGACGCTTTTTAGGTTGTGGACGAACAGATGAACCGTGAGTTTTCTTGGACCTTGTTGCATGTTACAAAATGTATAAAAGTATAAATACATTTTAATTGAGAATAACAATCTCCATTGACATGAGTCTTGTCTGGAGTAGTACCAAAGCACGGTATATTCCCTGATTATTCCATTACATACACTTTCTGCAATATACATTTACTGTATATAGCTTCATACATTCACAAAAAAACTTGGGATTTGTAATGTTAGTTCATCACATGCTCTCATGATAGCGAGTCTCACATTTATCATTCATATGGAGTTGAGATGACATCCATCGCCGAGACATATATCAAGGGGATTATGAAAAACTATTCTCCGTCGCCATAGAATACAAAGTCATGACCAGTCTACAAATTGTCCAAATTGGCATTCACTACGACCCGCTTGGCCTCGTAGACAGCGAGGGCCATCCGACGGGGTCGTGGTCTAGGAAATATTTCGCATATGTAAACAGAAACACCGCAGTGGACTAGTAAATGTAAAGCATAACTGGAGATTGGAGCAGCAACTCCCGTGGGGATTTTCTGTAATCACAACAACTGTTACCTCCAATCTGAAGCATTACAATATAAGGCTGATATTCGGGAAGTAATTCAAGAACCTCGGGACGAGAGCCTTGACCAAAGATGTTTGAAATTCTGACTTTAAATTAATTAATCAATAAAAATCATATAAAAAAGGAAATTATTATAAAAAAAACTGGTATGCAACGACTCCAATAACAGGAAATAAAATAATTAAGTCTCAGGTCTCCAACGCAGAATGATCTGACGCCAGGGTCACATCAAGGTTCAAGGGCATTTTAAAAGTCACGGCTGTCGTCACTTCACAGGAAACAATAGGATACCCAAGCGTCACTAATACAAGTTTGCATGTATTTGTTCTATACAGGAAGAGAAAATTCCAACGAATGGGTCATAACAATTCAGTTTTTAAAAATACCAAGCTAGATTTGCTGTTAACGATTCGCAAGATGGCTGCCTTTTGAAAATGGGACGCGACCCTCAGGTCACCTTGACCAATTATGGGCCACCACCCGATTCACGTCATCAGCAGCCAATCAATAACATTTAATATTTTCAGAAACTATTAAGGTGTTTTGTTCCATAATACTGTACTATTAATATTGCTAACTTAATAATAACCCTAACAAATTATTAGGAGTTAAGATAATATTATGAGTTAGGGTTGCTTTTGTTCTGTGTAATCATGAAAAACAAATAGGTCAAAGACAAAAAATAACCTCCATTTTTATTAAGTAAAGCAAAAAGCAAACTAAATGACCATAGGGATCCAAAGTAGGTTATATACTTATATATGTGGCATCTTAAGCAAACAAACATTTGTATCTCAAATACAAGATAGATTTGGTCATACAAGTAAAATAATTTTGATATATCGTAAGCAAGCAAGTGTTGGTCAAACAATACATTCCAACTAACATTTATCATACATCTTAATCCAACAGGTATTTGTCATACATCTTAATCCAACAAGTATTTGTCATACATTCTTATTCAAGTTTATTTGTCTTAATCTTAACAAAACTAATTTGTGTATTTCAAAAACAAAATGGAGTCAGGTAACGTTGTATAACACACTTTTTTGCCATATAAAGCAGCCAGGCAAGTATCTTATGGTCTATGTTGTTTTCATACATTGCTATGTAGCTATCAAGTGTTTGTCATACATCGCAATCAAACAAATGCTTGTCATACATCTTAAACCAACACGAGCTATACATCTAAATCAAATCGAACACGAGTTTGTCATACATTTTAATCAAACAAGTGTTTGTCAGACATCGCAATCAAACAAATGCTTGTCTTATATCTTAATACATCAAGTGATTACGATACATCTTAATCCAACACGTGTTTGAATGTCTTACATCGTAATTCATTTTTTGTTCTTAATCTCAACAAAACCAATGTTTGTAACTCAAAACCAAACCAGAGTTGGTAATGCAAACTCATTATAAAAATCTTTGATGTACCATCAGAAACACAGACAATCTAAAGTTTGATCGAGGATTTGTTTACATGAAAATTGCTTGGCTTTGGGGTAAATTTTGTGGATTATAAGAAAAACGTAATACATCAATAATGTGACCAAGAGCATTCAGCAGTGACCTGCCTACATATGTTAGCCCATCATACTGTGGGATATACGCGGTTACAACTTAACTCGTTCAAGAGAAATTACTTGTAAAAACAAAGCACTACGAGGGAGAGGTAAGAGCAATATTAGCCCGCGTCTTGAATAGTCAGTATCTCAATGTAAAATTAATGCTCGTTTTAAGAACCGTTCTGCAGTAGCATTCCTGTATTGTCACAATGTTTGCATTCAACGAGATTAATACATATCTTCTATATTACTCAGGAACGTTGTCTGTAGGATAAACCAAAATTTGGAAAACGTTTTAAACTTTAATTAACTGGAGAAAAGACTATTACTACAAGAAGCGTATTTTTGACATTACCCTGTAAAAACGTTCTGTATAAGATTCCTCTTCACTTGTCCATATTCTAAATCATTTTTAAACAGAAATGTGTTTCAAAAGTGAACAGTAGGCCATGGAGAGTACAACACGCAACTTTTCCAAATTGCCTCTGAAAACAGTTCAATGCATTAAGGTAAAATTGCAAGGAAGAAATGCTCAGGAAAACCGCTGATAACAAAATAAAAGCAAAACGCGATATCCCAGCTTATGTTAGGGCACATTTCCTTTTCCAGTTTGCACCAGTCAGCATCCTAAATCTTCATCAGTATAAATTATTGAACTCAGGAAAAAAATATTGGTCCAGACAAAATTTAGCTAACGCCTTGCCAGACAGACAGCCAGTGCATATTAAGCACGGTATCCGGCGTTAACTTTGTGATCAAAACCTTGCGTGTTCAGCACGTAGGTCGCTATCAAATACCAATGAACTAGTGTAACACGCCGTCCGCTGTGCACTATATAACTTTTACAGCTTGTAGCATGTTGTTCAATATTCATCTTTTTTGTCAGGTGATCTGTTGTTTTCAATAAAAAGACCTATTTATCACGTGATCAGTTCCTAATAATATAGAACTACAGATTTCTTTATCGATGCTCCTTACCTATTGAATACATTTTCCAAGCAGCACGTTATGCACTGCAAAATCAGTGTGATTATCATTAGTTTATAATAAAACAAACGTGTTAATAAAAAATACTATTGTTTACATTATACAATTGGCGTGTCCAACTCGAGGTCTCTTGAACACTTAGCAACGGACGTGTTGAAAACTAGGTTTACTGTGATGTACACTTTTATAAAAAAAAACGTTAACTTTTATTTCAGGACATTACAATACACACCTGCTGTTATCAAGTCTAAGAGATCGCAGACTAAATCTTCTAATTATCAAAATGAAAACACAAATCAATAATAACATACACTGTGTAACATATACGTGTACATGAGAAGTAATAAACATAATTTTACATATTGGTGCACACATGTTCAACATTAAAGAAATACCAAAATCAGGAAAAAAGTACATGTCATCAAGTTTTTTTACGTATTTAAAGCTAAATATTTATAGTTAAAAACACATATACAGTATTTTAATTATATTCAAATGAAACGGAGTTTCTATCAATAGTACACTAGGGAAAAGATATAGAATGGTAAATAGTTGTTAAATGTGTTTACCTTCTTTTGATTTGACGTAATGGGAGAGTTCTGCGTGTTCACGTGACTCAAATTCATTTCAGAAAAGACAGTCGAATGAGCAATCGCTGCTCATCATATACCCACGTGTGTGACTGAAAGTTAAATATATGATAAACACGATAAAATGACATCAATTACCGTATGCCTTCTTTATTACATAATGAAAAATAATTATTGTAAAACTGACGTTGACAAAAATCATGAACTGTCTTTTGTGGGTAGTATGTAAGGAGGTTAGATATTAAGTTTGTTGTATGTATAGGTTTGTACTGTTATAGGTATGTATTGTGACATTCAACACGTTGTGTTAAAATGCTTTGATAAACCAAATGCATACATTTTATCTGTATGGTCAAGCATTAAATTAGTTCTAACTGTGTAAAATATATGATACTTATACTCAGTCTGTTCACTGTGTTTACTGAATGCTGATTTTTTTTGTAGGCAATTTCTTTCAGTTTAAATTTTCTTTTCGTGTTCATTAATTTATGTTGCTGGTAAAAAGACAGAACAATATTTGCTCAGAAGTATACCAAAGTTGAACATTATCAGATGGGTTATGACTACATTTCAAAGGGTAACATGTGAACAATAAGATGATTGTCATTAACACCAACAAAATAAACAAATGTAACTTTTCATTGGTAGTTTAACGTGTGCTCTAATCAGTTAATTTTGTAATTCACTTAATAACACGGAAAGAATTACGATTAAAGAGAAAGGAATGTGTCAGAAATACTTCAGTATGTTATATCGCATGGTGTCTACATTTCGTTAATATTGATTTCTAATGATGGTATAACGACTTTGAAATATAAACCTTTTCAATTAGCTGGACTGCTGATAGAAAGATGTTTCAGCTTTAGATTTGTGACTATCAAATAATGTTATTCCATAAAATTTTGATCACGGAGTAAAATCGCGAAATCTTTATTCCTGGAGATGAAAGGTATGTGTACAATAAAGAATAACTATATAGTGGGCTCTCGAATAATAAGCGACTAATAATGTAAGACCAATTAACCATTAAAAATGTATTAAAACAAATAAATAACTCCGTGGTTACGACTCTTTGATACGTCCTAATTTTCTTGTCTTAACTGTCAAATATTAGAACTCTGAAATTCATAGAAACATTTCGGTGAAACTCTTTTCCATGGTTCTATTAAAGCTTTGTTATCAGAAAATAAAACATCACCAGGTGTGTTCTTATCCAGAATCACATGAATTAGTTTCACAAGATCACATATTTTGTCTTAATCAGGGTGACCAAAGTGTTGCTGTTGTATGCCAGTCCATCTGACAAACCTTCATGGCTGTCAGCAGCCTGCCTATGGTTGCCTCTGTGTGGAATCTGTCTATCCAACACCGAATGAGAGCATTCATCCTTGTCTTGAAGTCGGTAGGATGAGACAGTTCACACTGCTCTATGGTCGGGGGTGACAATCCAAGCTCTAGGCACAGGTTGAAAAACGTTTTGCCGATGTTATCTACGATTTTCTCTATTTCATCCTCAAATGGGACTCTATTCCAAACCTCAGATGACACCATATCTGCGTGAAAGAACTTTATTATAATTTGCTGAATAGACTTTTAAAAATCAATCTTTGAATTAGGGTTATCATCTTTTACCATTCCAAAGAAGATGACAAGTTTCAATGACGTCTTAATAAAGCAGAGTTGTGCAACGTTAACCAAGTCTTATGCAGATTCCAGTTTGCTACTTTTATTTAACCGATCATAGATTGATATTTTTTGAAAAATAAAATTTGTTTCTGCTAATCAGCTTACATCTTACTAAAAAAAGGTCAGTTTATCAGTTGATGTCGCTTGTTGAGGACATGGATATATAAAAAAGATGGAAAAACTAGTTATCTAGTTAACTTGCACTTACTTAACTGGAGTTATCACCAAATATCCTGACAAGAACAAAAGTCAGTCTATTGAGATTATGTTATTATTGTTAGGTATATCAGCCTTTTACATTTAAATGGCTAAGGTTAACTTCAAAATAACGTTTTATCTACTGTAACATCATATCGATATAGCTGTTTTGAAACATTAAGTATTTAGCATATTCATGTTCATGTTCAAGTGTTCGATATATTTGTGTAATAATTCTCTAACCTTTGACCTGGGATTCCTCGTCTGTTCCTAGTACGTCGTTGATACGGTCAGTCGCCATATCAACCGCCTCCATAGCTTGTTGGATATCATCGATCGTCTTATTCGGATAGGCGATTGTCCATTTAAGAAACAGTTTGGTAATAAGTGTGATCCCAGGCAAGGTGCAGGACTCACGTTTTGTATCTTCGATTTCTAAATCAGGAAGCCCAAGCTCCACAAAGAACTGCTCAATGTGAGACGAGTTGATTAGACGGGACAGACGACTAAGTTCTCGAGGAGACGGCCTTCTGTCAAAGGTATTTGTTTCAATCCCCGTTGTGCCTTAATAATCAATATTGTGAGTTATTACTTATAAGAGTTATTTGAATATATAAACCGATATAACAAACATAAGATACACCCATTACTATTATTGTTGTGTTATACTTTCAGTGAAATTAATCAATATTTGTATGTATCATACATTGTATATAGAGTTTAATATTGTATCAAAATTATTTGAAAATGTCACGTATTTGCTTTTCATATTTTTTTATTATCTACTAGGAAACATGTAGAATGCCGTCATGGTAAGGAAAATGCATATTTCGCCCAGAAACTTCGCGAACAGTTACTAGCTTTAATTGCATAGAGGACAGGCTTGTAAAAAGAAAGCAGGATGGAAATATTTTACCTCATGTTGACTCACATCGTGCTTCACGTGTACAATAAAGCACAGTTGCTCGTTTTCTTTTATACTTAATGCTTTTCGGTAGGCTCAGTTCCTAAAATCCTTAATTCTTTAAGTTCCAAATACATGTAGCTTAATATACTTTTGTCCTTGAGCTTTACTCGTGTTTTGCAACGTATTCTGTATAGTGTTGTTTTAACATATTATTGGTAAGGTATTACGGTTCACGTGCAGTAGTATTAAAGTGGTATGAAGTGATATATGCAGGATCATGACTATGGGCCAATTTACAGTGAAAAGTCTTCATAAAGTCGCACACACACCTATGAAGACCAAAGGTATGATCACCTGGTAAGATGCGCCCGACTAAGGTTGCTATCACCCTCCACACACGTTTTGACTGTGTTGACTATATGTGGTTGTCATTTCTTGAATGTAACGCGCTATGAAAACTTTCGTGAAGATTACAAGATGTTATATAAAGGTTTTCTTCGGAGATGAGACCCTTATGGCATGCCAACTAAATGTCCGACAAAGTGTTTGCTGTGATGCATGTGTTAACTGAAAATATTAATTCACCTCAATACCTAAAACGGAACACTCTTCACATTTATGCCTTAAATCTTTAAACATGTCCATAGTTTAGAAAATAGAAATATTTAGCCATGCATTTTTTTTTACATTGACGAGTTCAAAAAGCATCAGCATATGTATTTTAAATGCCGACAATTAGTCAGGTTTTGGTGCGAGTACTATGCAATCTGTGCCATAAGTTGGGATAAACTCAAAATAAAAAATGCTTGTATTCATGCAATTCAGGAGATTGCTAGAAAATATTGATGTATGGAACACATTTTTTGGGAGAGACGATAGTCTAGTGGAAGGACGCCGGGCTCGTGACCGAAGGGTTGCGTGTTCGAGTCACGTCACGGCACTGTGAGCAAGATACTTTACACCGCTTGTTCCAGTCTATCAGCTGTCAATGAGTACGTGGTTGGGTAATGCTAGAATTGATTAATGCTAGCTGTTAGCGCCGAAATGGCAGCTCCGGCTGTATGCTCCCCAGGGATTTTGAGAAAGGTATTGGCTGGTTGCAAAGGCCCTATAACCACGGATATTAATTTGTGAACCGTTTTAAGACGACCTTCGAACTAAGTTGTGATAAAGCGGTATATGAGGACCTCGAATTATTATTATTATTATTATTTATTTTTTCATTTGAGACATAGGACATTGCAAAAAATTAAGCGGTGGTCTATTTTCACTTCTGAATTTTTGCAAGAATGGAAACTCTTATTGGTGACGTCAGAGTTTTATATTTGAATCACTTAGTAGCAGCTCGGATGCTAATTCAAATTGTAAGAACACCTTTCGAGTTTCTTTCTTGGTATTAGCCATAATTCATGTACATGTAGGGCGTTTCAACGAATAAACAATTGAGGGTTTGGTGATCTTTTTCTGATATCCTCAGCTTATGTAAGTATACGTTATGAACGAGTATAACATTGCACAGCTACATTGTATATTGTAGTTGTTTACTTACTGTACCACCTTTGAGTCAATAAGACGACGCATTTAGCATGATCGCTCACCTGCGATATTCCCATTGCCTTGAAACCTTGCAGAATCCTAAAACAAATTGCCAAGCGTTACTAAGAATCAACATATTTAGTCCTTAAATAAACCCTTTTTGCAAATATTCAAGCAATATAATACTAATAACGACACATTTATGATAAAGACTACCGTATTATATTAATAGATAATAACTGGTATTGGATTTCTTAAAAAGGTTATAAACAAGGTGTGACAAAGATATAGAACACAATAAAGGTGAAAAACAACATCTGTATATCTTTTTAAATAAAAACAAAAATAGTGTCAGAATATCAATGTTAAAGATACAATCCACGAACCAAACAGAAATGGTATGTGGTTTCTGAGAGAACAAATGAAACATTCAGAATAATATATAAAATCGGTATTACCTCTGTGATGTTCCAAAACGTTGTGTCTGTTCTGGACAGTCGGTGTTGTCCTATGCATTCTCCGCCTTGACAAGGCACGCCCCTTTCTGAGTGGATGACGCCGTACAGTTGTACTGGAGTGTCGTATGGACTCAGGTGGAAGTTGCAGTGCAGCTGATGTGCGAACTGAAAGTGTTGCTGATTACTCATTTGCAACGTCTCAAGTAGAATTCGTTCGATCGAGAGCCTCACACGTTGTCCAGAGTCTGCGGGAAGCTTAGATTCTGTTGGACTGATCAAAGTCACAGCGATTGCTGACCGCTCTGCGTGCATGGACACGATCATTCTGCAAAGGTCATCGACTTTGAAACATCCAAAACCCAAATATAGACAATTAGTGTTGCCTACTGTCGCCTGGTCACGCTCATAGAAAGTGTCTGTTGACAGTGACACTGCTCTGTACCTTCTCATGATCTGGGCAAAGATTCTATGGAAAAGTTCATCTGGGACGTAAACATCTTTAAACACGAAGCATAAGGTTTTGGAGACAGCGAGGTTTCTCTTTTTGAAGATACTGACTTCTTTGGTTATATCATCAATGCTTTGTAGCTCCATAAGTTTGCTCGGAATGGTGTACGTCTCACTGAACTGTGCATTTTCTGTAGTGGTTCCCGACATTAGTATCTTTACTATTAGTCCGAACTTTTCCATCAGCGCCAGGAGAACAGACTTGTAAGGAAGGAAAGCTTGGTTCTTTTCCAGACTTAGAAGACCATTGGTCAACTTGTCAGTAAGTTCACCCTTTGTCATGTACAACTCCAGGTCTCGGGTCAGGAGAAGGTCGCCTTTTGGGAGGAACTCGTCGTCGGTAATCAGGATGCTGAAAAAATCAGCAAGCCACTGGGGGTTGGTGATGATGTGGTCAAACTCCCGAAAATAAATCACAGATCTTGTGCAGTGCAGGAACCTACACAAAATTAATATAGGTATCATATAATGTGTGTTTAGTAACATATGCAGAAGAGTTTAAAAAATAATATTCATAAAATGCTTGTATATGGGTTGATACCATCTACCTGAAATCTACATTAAATTTGAAATGACATCTGATACAGCTTAAAACATCTACCATCAAGTTTTTGACGTACATTTTAAATTTATTGAACGAGTTTAATGAATTTAATAAGACACGAGCCTGAAAGCGAGTGTCATATCAGATTTTTGAACGAGTTTAATGAATTCAATATGACATGAACACTCATGTAAGATTCTACTTATCACATATCATTCATAATTCAAAGAAAACATTAACCACAATTACGTGTCATCAGCTGACTCCATATAGGTCAAGATCAAAGTACTCTGATCATAGTATTGTCGTTCCGCGCAGTGAAAAGAAGTTCCAGAATTTTTTATTGATGAATAGTTTTAAATGCAATTAAAATAATGATATCAAAATAAACATTTCAAATTAATTTAATAGCAAAATCATTAAAATGTTGCCTCTTAAGGTTTTTATTACACGTGTATATGACCGTATTTATCACATGGCCGTATGACTTTGTAAAATGCGTTGGTTATATGTGAAACTTAAATAGTTTATGGATGCAAGTTATTTGTAGTAGTATTAAAATCATAGATTGTTTGTGATGTGTCAATAGGGTCCATCCATATTGAAATGTAATGCTATATAACCATACATTGTACTGAATGATAAGTTGATAGTAAAAAACTACCCTAACAGTTTGGTATTTATTTGGGGGATGTTTTCTGAGAGCTGATTTAGAGGGCATATATATATATATCAGTTTAAATGTTGCTGTTTGAATAAGTGACGGAAACGCTGAGCAGAATTGGCAAAACAAAGATTTTTTCCCATGGTAAACCACCGATATATTCGTACAACAGCAAAAAATAATACAACATAAATGGACATGCTGTCTAATGCATGGATCGTCTCTTTTGATGTATCCTATTTAATAAAAATGATTCAAAGTTTTTCATCATAACGTAATTTAAGTGAGTTTTTTGTGTATAATAAGCATTAAGTTGAGTCCGAACTGGTATGACACGTAAACATATGTAGCGTATTATTTGATATTGCACAACACAATAGTGAGAGGGAGAAAAATGCAATCGATGAAGCACAGGGGCATGGGCAGATGATTGAGAGTAAGATCTAAACAAACTATAGCTGAATCTAACGTTTAAGTTTTAACATCGCAATTTTACGTCAAAGCGTCTCGGTTTGGGGTTTAGTTCTGTTTTGCTTTAGTGTTATGGAGAAGTAAATTCTTACTTTCATTGGCTTCCATCAACATACTACATAATCCCAATAGGTGCTATACCGTAGCACTATCTAAATGATAAAGAAACATGATATTATATTTCCTTTGTCGATTGTAGACGTTATCAACATGTAGACGTCAAAGGTAAAACGTTGAATGTACTGGCAGGTGACTGTTGTGATTACTCTTCAAAACACCCCCTAAACAAGGATACAAATAATTAATTTCACCATTTTACGCATTTATCCTCTACTTTCGTTTCGTATTATTGTGAAAATAATGTTTCAAGTCAAATGGAATTACTCGATTAGCTTTTAAACAAAAGTGTCAGATAAACATTTGATCTTACGACTCTAATTGGGTGTGCCTTCCAATGATAAAAAAGTGTATTGTAAAAGTAAACTGTTTCTATATATGTCCACGTAACTCTCGTATAGACATACTCACTCTAGTGCCAGTTTAATCTCGTTCTCGTTCGTTAAAGGGGCTATAGACTTTTTGTTCATTTCAATCACCTCCGCCAAAATGAGTATCCAGGTTCCTTCTTCTCTTGCTTCAAGTAAGTCCATCTCGAGTTTCAACCATCTGGCTGGAAGTTTTCTGTCACACTGATCTTGGTACACGGCTGCTTCTGTAATAAAACCTCGCAACACTTCCAATTCCGTGTCATCATTTCCGAGGCTGTTGTCCACTGTGCAGAACCTTACGAATTTGTGAGCTGTAAGTTCGGGGAATTTCGCAATGCTTGACTGCATTGCCTGTACAAGTTTGTCGCAGTCCTGGAATAGTAATTATCAAGTTCTCAGTCCAAATTGTTTTTGTATGTAAAAATATAAAAACAAAAGCATAGTGGTGTTTTTTTTCAATGTAGATGCAATGTGCACAAAATGACAAGTATTATTGTTCATCTTAGCAACAATAACTGTTTTTAATATAGCGAATTCATGCTAAATCTTGCTTATAACTATAGTTATATGTTTGAATATTTATAACATTTACCGAGGTTGTTTTTTTAAGTTCGTCCAAGAAGGTGCCGACGAAAATAAGTGGAGGTTCATGTGCCTTCAATCTTGGCGCGTTAAGTTCACCTGACGAAAACGTACCAATCAACCGGATCCATTTCTTCAGTCTATCTAGACTCATAAAGAGTGCATGTTGATTTAATCAACTATATCAAAATGTCTCTTGAGAATATGGATATGTATAAATATATTCAAAGCTATATCATTAAACACCATAGGCAAAGAGTTTAAAACTATATGAGGACATTGCAAAAGATAAAAGGGATACATTAAACGATAGGGCTTCATAGTAGTCAGACACGGGTCTTCCTTTTCCTTTTTGTTATATGAATCAAACTATGTTAAAATAAAGACTTGATTGAAATAGTACCGGGACTGGAGGTGAATGGTCTAGATGTCTAAGAAATCAGCTTCAGCGACTTAAGGTTTTATTCCTATCAAAAATGGATTATATAAATAAAAAATAAAAAACAAATCAAATTAAATGAAAATAAATAAGTGAACTGTTATAAATATACATGTATAATTTAAAAAAATCTGTCTCGAGTGTTATTTTCCCCCTTTTTCATTATGTATGCAAACAAAACTAACTATATAAACCCGTGGCGTCATTTACGGCAACATGCCATTTCTGAAAATTATCTCTTGCTGCCATGTAGAACAAAATGAGACATTGGTATATTAATGTTCATTTATAACTGAATACTTTATTAGGGTAAATATGCTTGCCGCTAGTTTCAAAATCATGTAAAATTGGAATAAAATAAGCATAGCTGCATAGTCTTTTCAGGGATCTACAGTAACTTCATTCAGAGTATTCAGGGATGCAATTCAAATCTATTGTGATCTGAAACTGGCTGGTCGTCAGCTTCACCCCTGAAATCAGCGTTCCTTTTCACGTTTAATTTGTAAAGCTATTTTTTATAAGAGCAAATGCAATGTCATAAAGCACTGTAGTTTGGTTTCTGTCTTATCTTTTTGTCTGAAAATATAGCAATTAAATGATTGAGACTTGTATATTATGACATCTACTATACAGTTTAAGGTAACATCGCAACACTCAAAGCTAAACATAAAACCGTCAAATCATATGTTTGTTAACTTTCACATATTAATCCCATCATCAAGTTGCACACGCTATTAACAAAATAAATAAACAAGTCCTTCAATTTGCAAGTTGTAGTTAGATCATGGTAACAATGTACCACTACATATTCAATATTCAATAACTACACTTTTAGTTCCCACCCGAACAATCTCAAAACACCGTTCTACCTTTTGTTGTTCCCTCATCCGATTCACACCTCTCTTCTCATAAATACTATCAAATCTTATCAAGAGTTTCATTGTTTTCGCTTTTTATCCACTAAAGTTAAATAGTGTGCTGTATTCTAATAACAACAAAACTCTTTCTATTGACAGTCTTCGATAAGCGATATATTTAAATCTGGCTTAATTCTCCATGTTGATAACATACCAGTCGATCATATATTTTAAACAGAAAAAAAGTCTGTTGACATGTATTTGTTATTAACAGATGAATGGTGAAAGTTTGTTTTGTTCTTTTCATTTACACTGTAAATATATAATAAGGATCGTTCATCTACTTACCAGTTTCCAACTTGTCTTTGAGAAAATCTGTCAGTCTGAAGACTAGTAGGTACACACCATGCGAAGAAATAAACACATTGTGTGAAGCAGCAGGGTCTTCTAGCAATGAATCTCCGCCTAAGCCGTCTTGGGACGCTGTGGTAACATATACTGATAAATGAGGACAAGTCTAAGGAATGTTTATTCTTAATTTGTTTGAGTCGGTTAAGTTATATGTTTGTAAGATATATCGAAACATTTCCAAGGTGATATCAGAAACTACAGTGTGCCAAATGTATGCCTTATTGCTTACATACTGCTATATCCAATTACTTTATGTAAATCATCAGTAAATTATACCTGTTTGGAAACCGGCCTCTATTTCTGATGTCTCCATGTTCGTTTTGAACAATACACCCATACGTGTTGTAATCACGTCCGTAAGCGATTGATCAGCAATATCTCCCCATGTTTTAAATTCCCAGTCAATAAAGAACGACGCAGGGTAAAGAACTGCTCCCACAGTTGGCTGGCGTAAGTCGAGGTCGACATATTCGTTTTTAATCCGTCGACATATTGTTGTCTTTCCCGCCCCGTCTCTGTCGGTGAAGACTACACGTATGTGTCGGTATTTCTCTGTGGTTCCCTTAAACAGCGCTACGTACTTTTTATACTCAGGCCATTCTGTAAAGATAAATGTTAAAATATTTACACACACTCCAGTTAACAGCAACAAAAATAAATCAAAAAAGGCAAACAAAATATTCCATGTCAAAATATAAAGAAATCTAACCCTCACAAACGCTCCAAAAGGAGGATATCTTCCTGTGCCAAATGGGATTTGCGACCCTATGTTTACCGTCACATTTTAAGACTTATTTATGTCACACACAATCTGAATACGTCATTCAAAAAACGATAAAAGCTGAAATGTAAGGAAACTTGCACACATCCATTTTTAAAAGAACCTAATAATCGAGTAAATCTAAGTTGAAATATTTTGAATTTCAACGTTCTCCTCTACGAATAGTTGTATAAAAATTAACAATGCAAACAAATTGTTACCTACGGCCTATTGTCATAACCAGGCATATGTGAAAAACAACAGAAAAAAGATTATCATCACCAGATAAATAACCAAAGAAATTATTTATCACTCTTGCAACTAATGATACTTTTAACACATTCATTGTAAAATTAAACTAATCGACTGGGTTTGAATTAAATGTAAGATCTTGGTTTCAAAGTAATCAGGTTTAATCAAGGAACATTGTTGCATAATTCTTGCAAATTAACGATATTACTTATATAGGGCACATAGAAAAATATTGTCATTTAGATAATTAGATGTTCTGTAAATGTTAACGATACTGTGTACATTTTGTATTTCATTGAGTAAGTCAGGATTATTAGGAAATTGTTCAAACTTAATAATTGTTTTAGTTTTTAATCTATGGAAAATTTTAATATTCAATGTAATGAAACTGTGAAAAAAACGAAAAAATCTCTTCTTCGAATCTTGCTTAATGTTTTTAATGATAAAATTGTCTAAAAAGCGAACAAAAATGTCTACTCCCTGACAGATGTTAGTTTGGAAATCGCCGCATTTTGCCGTGAAATTGATGTAATGTTATCTTATTTGATATATTCCAATCACTAATCCAGATAGGTGGTTATAATTTGGACAGGTTGCGAATGATATAACCGATTTAAGTACTTTCAACATGTGAGAAAAGAGTGTTTGTTTGCAAAACAAAACATTATGAACTCATTTGAACAATGACATCAGGCATTTAACAGAAACATTCGTATTGCTAAAGAGCTGTTACTTACCTCCTGTTGTTATATCCAGTCATAACCAGGCAGATATGAAAACCAACAGAAATAAAGTCATCATCACCAGATAAATCATCACTGACATTAGTTATCGCTCTTTCAACCGGCAATACATTTAACACATCCATTATTAAAAGAAACTAATAATCGAGTCAATTCAAGTTAAAATATTTTGAATATCAACATTCTTCTCTACGAATGGTTGTATAATATGAATATATTTATGTTTTTCCTATCATAGATGTAGATGAGTGCTTGTAATGGGGGAAAAATTGTTGATGATATAGCCGTTGTCAGTATTTTCAACATTTAAGTAAGGTGCGATTTAAGCGATTCTAAATTTCATATAGGTATTTAAACAAAGATGCCTGTCTGTTAACACATACATTTGTACTGAAAAAAAGTGATTACTTACGTGCTGTTGTTATATCCAGTCATAACCAGGCCGATGTGAAAAAGAGAAGCATAAAATTAGCATCACCTGTTTATCACCTAGAACGTATTTATCGCCGTTACGATCGACAAACAGAATAACACATCCATTGTTGAATCAAACTAATTCTTGAGTCAATGTAAGTTGAATTAGCATAGTTAACACTTAACAGGACATACTCTGTATCAATATAATCAGGCTTCATTAATAAGACAGGATGCATAAAAAATGTGAGAATAACAATGTGATTTTGTGGGGTTAGGTAGAAAGATAATATACTCATTCAACTTGTTCCCCAATTTTTGTAGTAAGAATACCAAAGCACTTCACCATGAAACGTTATATAACGTTTAATGTGATATGTTTTTGAAATCTCTATTCTACAAGGGTTTTAATACCAAAGATGTGTTGTGAATGATGCAACCGATTCCAGCAGTTGCAACATGTAATTAAAGTATGTATGGTTACAAAGCGAAATTGTATGAACTTATTTGAGATCAGGAGGTTACCACAAAAATTCACAATGCAAACAAATTGTTACCTACGGCCTATTGTCATAACCAGGCATATGTGAAAAACAACAGAAAAAAAGTT